CAAATTCATAGAAGTTTACTTCCATTTCACCCCTTGTTATCCTTCTTCTATTTTTACTACATGTTTTATTTCTACTGATTTTATAAACTCGACTATATTGTCACCATGTTTTTCTCCCCTAATTCCTCTCTGTTTATACCTTCAATTACCAAGTTCATCAATACTTGATTGGTTAATATTATCTCATCTATTATCAGGTCACTTTATATTTTTTTCAGCATTATTTTTTTCTATGTTTTAATTTAAGTAGACTAAATTTCTATACCTGTATTTGTATTTTTTTTTCCTGCAGTGTCAAATCTGCTATCAAATCCCCTTTTATAGGCAGTACCAGATTTATAAGAATTGAAACACTCACTAAAATCATACAGTATCACAAGTAACCTCATCTTCATATATACAAAATAGACCTCACAACATTCAAGCAAGACTTAAATTATACAAAAAGAAAATATGAACAAGTGTTTGTTAATTACAAGAAATTTGAAAACTCTCACTGACAAAGGACAATGTGTCCTGCGTCCTGGAATTAGATCACTATTCTTTTCTTAGGTTATAGTGTATATAGTCAGGTCTGATTTTGTACGAATTGTCTCAATTTTTACCCATGTGGCACCTAATCTAGGAATGCTGGAGTTATAATGTAATTATTTGAATAATATTTTGGAAGGGAGAGGTCTTTGTATTGAGTTATTTCTATTAGACTACACAGTGGTACATTTTCTCTGGATTGTGTTTGGTTCTGATGAAGGGCATCCTGTTTTTCAGCTCCAATTTCCTCTACATATCTTCAGTTTATAAGATTGTGTTACTTACTTGGCTCAAACTCAAGTTCCTAAAGCAATATTCTACCTAGTCCTTCAAATCCTATTCTAGATTAGGGTTCTGACTTTCTGCTAAGTGGCCACTGCTTTAGACCTCTACCTTAGCCTTTCTTTGGCTGTGTCCTTCCTATATATTGACATTTCCCCCTTGCTTCTTGGACTTCTTCCTCCAGGCACAGGCCCTTTGCACTTATAAACATGGACCTTGCCTGCAACCCCAGCCCTGCAACAAGGGTTTGTCTATAATAGGTGTCAATGCATATTTTGCAGATAAAATGATGTTAACTGTGGGCCTGAAGGGCCATTACCTTTCTCTGTTGTGCTCTGCATTGTTCTCCTGGCCCAATATCCAGTGTCAGCTGGATCTGCCCCCAAATATCTGTCTCACTTTTTCTAGCCATTGAAAGAAGGGTCTAATTATGGTGATGTGTGAGAAAAGTGAAAAGTCTCACCAACAAAATCTGAACTTTAACATTTATGGATTGGGGTATTAAGTCTGGTTTCCTACT